ATATCTGTGAAGGTTTTGATTTCTCTGTCAAATCTGAATGAGAGCCTTGCTGGGTAGAGTATTCTTGGTTGTAGGTTTTTCCCTTTCAGCACTTTAAATATATCATGCCACTCCCTTCTGGCCTGCTGAGTTTCTGCTGAAAAATCAGCTGATAACCTTAAGGGAATTCCCTTATATATTATTTGTTGCTTTCTCCTTATTTTTAATTCTTGTCAATTTGATTACTGTGTTCCTCAGCATGTTCTTCTTTGGGTTAATGGGACTCTGTACTGTTTTCTTTCCCAAGTTAGGAAAGTTTTCAGCTATTGTCTTTTGGAATATTTTCTCAGGTCCCTTCTCTCTCTCTTCTCTTTCTGGGACCCCCATAACACTAATATTGGTGTGCTTCATGTTGTCCCAGAGGTCTCTTAGACTATCCTTATTTCTTTTCATCCTTTTTTCTTTTTTCTGTTTTGCAGTAGCAATTTCCATTACTCTGTCTTCTAGATTACTGATCCATTCTTCTGCCTCATTTAGTCTGCTCTTGGTTCCTTCTAGTGTTTTATTCATTTCAGTAATTGTATTCTTCAACTCTGGTTGTTTTTATATTTTCTAACTCTTTGCTAAAAACTTCTAACCTCTTACTCTGTGCATCTATTCTCCTCCCAAGTTCTCTGATCATGTTCACAATCATTACTCCGAACTCTTTCTCAGGTAGCTTGCCTATCTCCTCATTACTTAATTCTTCTTCCATGATTTTATCTTGTACCTTTGCCTGTAACATTTCTCGGTGGCCTCATTTTGTCTAAATTTCTATTTGTATTTTTATGTGGTTTCTATTTGTATTTTTATGTGGGTTAGTTATGTTACATACAGAGAAGTGTTCCTCTGTATGAGACGTCCTGTGCATCCCAGCAGTGTACTCCCCTCTTGCCACACAAAGGCCAAGGTCCAGCTAGATGCAGGGTAGATTCTGGCCTGTGTTTGCAGACTCTTTCCATAGACTGTGGGATCATTGTTTTCTTAATTCTGGTGTCTCCCCCCTGGTGGGTGAGGCTGGGCTAGAGGCTTGTGCAAGTTTCCTGGTGGTAGGGGTTGGTGCCTGCCCATTGGTGATTGAGCTAGTTCCTGGCCCTCTGGTGGGCAGGGGCATGTCTAGAAGCGTCTGTGGGCTCAGGAAGTCTGCTGATGGGTGGGGCTGTGTTCCCACCCAGTATATTGTTTGGTCTGAGGTATCCCAGAATTTAAGCCTACAAGCTTTTGGGTGGGGCCAGGGCTTGGCAGTAATGACTTAAGCAAGATGTCAGCCTCCAGGAAAGCTCGTGTAGATGAATACTCCCTGAATGTCTTCCACCAGCTTTTATGTCCAGCTGCCCTCCTTTTCCCCAGGAGATCTTCCAAAACCAGCAGGCAGGCATGGCCTAGGTTCCTATGAAATCACTATTTGCCCTTGGTCCTGGAGCACATGAGATTCTATGTGCACTCCTTAAGAGAATGAAGTCTCTGTTTCCTTCAGTCCTCTGGAGCTCCTGCAGTTAAGCCCCTCTGGCCTTTAAAACCAAACGCTCTGGGGGCTCCTGCCCCCAACGCTTGATCCCACAGGCTGGGAAGCCTGATGTGGGGCTCAGAGCTCTCACTCCCATGGGACGGCCTCTGCAATATAATTTTTCTCCAGCTTGTGGGTCATCCACCCTAGGAGGGTATTGGGACCCAATTATATCACAAGTGTGCCCATCGTACTGTCCTGCTCTGCTTCCCTCTTTATGTTGCCATTTGAAGAGGGTCTTTTTTTGATAGGTTCCTGTCGTTTTTTAATCAGTGGTTGTATATCAGTCATTTGTGGTTTTGTTGTGATTGTGGGAGGAGGCGAGCTCATAGTCCTACTGCTTTACTATGTTGACTGGAAATCTTCCCAGTCCCCACTGGGATGCTTTAATCAAAAGAATAGAAATAACAAATGTTGCAAGGATGTGGAAAAATGATAGCCTTCATACCTTGCTGTTGGGAATGTAAATGGTATAGCTGCTGTGGAAAGGAGTTTGGTGGTTCCTCAAAAAGTTAAACAGAATTACTATATGATCCATCGATTCCTGTTCTATGTACGTACCTACAAGAACTAAAAGCAGATACTCAGATACTTGTACCCTAGTGCTTGTTCACAGTACCCAAAAGGTAGAAACAGTGCAAATGTCCTTCAA